AATTTAAATAGTAATTTTATAATTATTTATAACCCCATCAGATGACAATAGTGTTGCAGCAGTATTAAACTGCCACCACTCTTTTCAAGAGCTTTTTAATTACTCCAGTTTATTTAGTTTACTGGATCTCACGTTTTTATACACTAATTTTGTTAATTTGTCACTACATAGTGAGACAGTTACTAATTAACTCTGCCGATTAGCCGGATCTTTTTATTTCAAAAACTCAAATATTTTAAAACTGGTGCTTGTTTAATTTAAAAGTTAGTACACGTTGTCAAAATCACATTTTCTGCTTGAGCATTAATCCAATATATCTTTTAATTATCACACAAAATACACCTGCCTTATCTTCAGTTAGAGCAGTCTATTACTGTATCCATATAGAACTACATCAATGTAGTTTCCTTAACAAGTTGGTAATAGAATTGTTTCAGCGTCCGACATATCAAAGAGGTAATTAAGATACCTTAAATATTGATCATACGCCTAAGAAAGCTTTATTTGTTGAATGGAGCATTTCAAGCATTCTAGCTGTTTGATGCAGTAGTATTGCAGGCGGCTACTTGCTGCAGTATGATTGAAAAGCAAAAAAACACTAGCCTTAGTGTAGATAAAGAATTTAAAATCATAGTGTACTGTACTAAGTAATTAATCATGTCCCCTGTGATTGCTGTTACTCATTCTGCAAACAGGTTGTAGAGAAGTAAACTACATGCATTTATTACGAACTGCACAATTAAAAAGTGCCTGTAGTCATCAAGGAACATGTTTACATTACTGAAAGTAAGAACTATCGATATGCACAAACACCGCCGCCCCCCCCCCATCATTCATTTTCATTCACACATACACATGAAAGAGAAAAGCTTGAACATGTGAGTCCTACTGGCTCAGAAACAAAAACCAAATAAAAAGAACCCAACATTTATTATTTTTTAAAACTTATGATTTTTAAGCCAATATCATTTTGTGGGGGACCTAACTCATTTTTGAACACTTGGGTATGGCACTACAATAGAACCTCAGCGTTACGAACACCAGAAGTTGCGAACTGACCAATCACATACCTCATTTAGAACCGGAAGTACACAATCAGCAGCAGAGACAAATAAAAAAAGCAAATACAGTACAGTACTGTGTTAAATGTAAACTACTAAAAAAAAAACAGAAAGTTTAAAAAAAAGATTTGACAAGGTAAGGAACCTGTTTCTGTGCTTGTTTCATTTAAATTAAGATGGTTAAAAGCAGCATTTTTCTTCTGAATAGTAAAGTTTCAAAGCTGTATGAAGTCCATGTTCAGTTGTAAACTTTAGAAAGAAGAACCATAACGTTTTGTTCAGAGTTACAATCTCTATTCCCGAGGTGTTTGTAACTCTGAGGTTCTACTGTGTTGCTTTCAAAAAAGGGGGGGAAGTCGTATTTTTATGCTAGTATGATCAGCAATAAACAGGGTGAGATATATGCAGAAATCCACAGTATACAGGAGATTTATTTTAAGTTTTCCTGTCAGTATCAGGAGTCCTTATATCCAAGTCTTGGGCATAAGAGTTATCGTTCTCATCACAAGAGTTATCGTTCTTATCACAAACCACTTTGCAGCTTCATTCTCTTTTCTTGTGAACTAATCATTGTCCAGATATCTATGATGGTCAAATATGCACATAAATTTAGGTGAACTGACACAGAAAAGATTATGTACATCACCTTACTATTTAGGAGGGAATGGTCCTGTGATTAGAACAGGGCACTGGGGATCAGAACATCAGGGTTCTATTCCTGACACTGGCTGGATGTGTGACCTCAGCCAATCATTTAAATGCCTATCGTTTAAATGCATACAATACCTACCTCATTACAGGCTTAATCTATTAATGTCTGTAGAACACTTCATAGAATCATAGACTATCAGGGTTGGAAGGGACCTCAGGAGATTATCTAGTTCAACCCCCTGCTCAAAGCAGGACCAATCCCCAGCTTTTTTTTTGCCCCAGATCCCTAAATGGCCCCCTCAAGGATTGAACTCACAAGCCTGGGTTTAGGAGGCCAATGCTCAAACATCTTTGGATGAAAAGTGCTACATACGAAGGCATAGGAGTAATATAATATATGCTATAAAGAGCCCGCTTCCCTCCCCCTCTATAGACTGTCATATCTATACTATATGCAGTGTTATTGTAGCCACCCACTTCTCTCTCTCTCTCTCTAATATCCATACTATGGCTGCAATAATGTGACCTTTTCTAGGTTCTAGAGAGAGTGTACTTTTTTGCTCTTCTAAATGAGGCACATATGAATACTGTGCCTTGCCATTAACCTCTCACAGGAGCAGAAGCACTGTGTTTAAACAGCAGCACTCAGTACCAAGTACCAAGTCTTATTCATTGCTTTAATTGAGCTTGAACAGTTCTAAGCATGTGGTTATCATTAGACTACCATATTTGTTTAACCTTTCAAAGGAAGGAAGAGGTCTTTGGCATGTTACCGGGAGTACATGCAGAACCTGACTCTCATATCCTGAATTTAATTGAGCAAGTACATGTCAAAAAACCAAGTTCTAGTGTAAATGAAACCTCCAGTAACACGGTAACAATGTGTGGTGGCAATAGAACTGGTGGATAAATACTGTGGTGTGATATCTGTCCAACATGGCATGGCAGCCCTTAACCACATGCTGTACATCATTAACAGGAACAGTGTTCTTTCACACTGCATTACTTTTCACCCATTTGTCACAGGATAACCTGGGAACTTACAGAAAAAATGTTTATTGGTTTAAATGGGTTTTTATGTAATACCATCCCTGTACTATTTTCCATTAGCATTTTGACAATGAAGAGTTCTCCAGGAGGGCAAACAAAATATGAGTTTCTGTCTAAAAGGCATTGCTCTGTGAAAAT